TACTTCTAAAATAGGTTTGACATTTTCAATCGCGTTAACAAATTGCGTGATTACATTCATAGACAAGTTCTCGTTAGCTAGACAACAGAAAGTTTTATAAACAATAGCACGAGATCTTGTTTTTTTTGTTGCCTACGAAATGGACAACAATTGAAACCGGATGCAAGGCCTGCCTATGCTGCGATGCTCAGTAGACTCCTGCGCCTTTAAAAGAGAGCTGACAACTCTTTGAATTCGAGCGGAAAGGTACAGGGAAGAAAGCCACGACGAACTATTGAACAAGTGTAAGCTTTGCTACCCGAACGGTATGAGTATGCAGTTTCGGAGTTCGAGTGCCCACTTCGTTCTCTGGCCTTGAGTGTGTGACCGACTAACTTCGCTGTGAGATGAGAGGCCGAAGGAAAGAAAATCAAATAAAAGAAAAGAAAGCGCGGCTCGCCAACGGAGCAGAGTGGGCCTAAGTAGATTTGAACTAATAACTTTACACTTATTAGGCGATGTGTTTGATGGAGTGGAAAGAAAGGCACAAGGGGTGTTTTTGCTTTGGATGGATGTCTGAGTGGTTGAAGGTATCAGTCTTGAAAACTGACATATTACAAAATATCAGGGGTTCGAATCCCTCTCCATCTGTTCATGTATGTTAATTTACGGATAATGAATAGAGGTATGAAGCACAGGCTCGTAAGAGCTTGTGGAGTTTCAGGAATATGCACTTTGCCTACATTGGTTTTGTATCCCGCTTTAAACCACAAGTACACCGCCCAGGCAAAAGAAATTCATTGAAAACGACTCGTTCCAAAAATATCGGGGGTCGGGGCAGGTTCGGCACACAAAAAAAAAAAGAAGAAGAAACTGCACACAAAAAAAAAGAAAAAGAAACTGCAAATTGAGGAACGACGTCCGGGAAGGCCCTGAAGAAGGTGTGCTCATACTACAACACTCAGGAACGAATCTAACCGCACCTGTGGCTTGTATTAGTTTTTTATTTTTCCGTTGTTTTGTTTCTTCTTCTGTTTTCTTTTGGTGTCCCTGCCAGTGAGGCGGGGAGCACTTCACGGACTTCTGATGACTTGTCAAAGAGGGCATATACTCGGATTCTGTATCTGACCTGTTTTGCGTCCATATTTTTTTTTTGTTTTGTTTTTTTTTTTGCTTTTCATTTATGAAAGGAACCTCCGTGATGAACGCGGCGCAGGGAACACTGCATAGACTTCTGACAACTTCTCAAAGAGGGCATATACTCAGATTCTGTATCTAACCGGTTTCACATCCATATTGGGGCTCCTTTTTTTTTGCGTTTCATTTCTGAAAGTAACGTCCGTGATGAACGTGGAGCTGTAAACGCCCTCACTGAGGGCATACTCTCACACTGACCCCTGATTCTGTATCCAACTGCTTTCTCGTCCATAGCGTTGTGGTGGTTTTTTGTTTTTTAGTTCTTTTTTCTTTTTTACGTTGTTCTTTTGGGAGGAGTGTGAGAAAAGAAAATACAACCGCACCCAGGCTCGACAAAATTGGTGCGCAGTGAATTTCAGGTTCGTTGTGATCTAGTGCAGAACACCCTAAAAAAAGGAGCGCAGGTTGTGCACAATCTATTGTTTTTCAAATCTTTAATAGCTACTTTACCAAAATGGATTAACAAATATAAAATATAAAAAAAGGAAATTTGTATATATACCAACCCAGACAACCTTTTTCAAATGATTTAAAAAAAAAAAATCATATGAACATAAGATTTCGAGTTGTAATCGATATTGGTGGAGGTGATTATCCTTCTTGAAAAGATAGATTTGAAGTGGCGTATAACTTACTGAGTATTCAGTATAACTCACATCTTCGTGTACATATACGTGTAGATTAAATAACTCCCATGTGTTCAGTAGTCAAAATATTTCCGGCAGCTGGTTGGTGCTCTTCATATAGGAATTGAGTCACCAACCTTTTGATCTCAACAGCATCTGCTTTGGATCCTGCTGTTATGATAATAGCAAAATCATCAGCATATCTTACATAGAAGAGTCTTTTGAAACCCGGATCCATTGGATCTGATGAACTCTTCCATAGGGTTCGCCGGTTGCTGGACTCTCGGTGGAACGGACCACTTTGTGTTTGCAACTCTTTTTGATCCAACTCGATCGAATGAGATTGAACTGGCGCTGCTGCCACTTCGTGGCCTTGGACATGTAAGAGTCGTACAAAACCCAATTGTCTTGGTATTTCTTACCGTGAAAACCCAATCAGTCAAACAAGCAACCTGGCTTTGATTAGGGGGATCCTCTGATTTAGAGGTCCGCTCCAATACCAAACTGTTGCATACCGTAACGGTACAGACCAGAACAAGAACCGACCTCTCTCTCTCTGGTGCCAAGTACTAGTGTTACATCTTCAACGCCACACGGGTCCTACCGGACCCGACATAGGGGTAGAGGGACACAGTAGGGCCAAAGGCCTGACCTTGGGGGTACTACAGGCCGTAAAGGCCTTACCTTGGACCAGACCCGACGGGCCGGCCCAAACGATATTACCGTTTGGGCCTGGCGGCGCTCTTGAGGCTGCTGCCCGCCGGTTGGGGCTGAACCGTCCATCTGGACGGTTCAGGGCACGGTCAGGCCTCGCAGCATAGAGGCCGACCTCTGCCCACCGGTACAAAAGTACAGGTCCAGCCTCAGTGAGGCTATCGACCTACCGGCATTCTACCGGTATGGTATGGTACAGCTCGATACAGCACTGGTGCTAAACTTAGCGCAGGAGCAGCGAGGAGCAGCAGTGCAGCATTAGCGCAGTTGCAGCGATCGAGCAGCAGCAGCGGCGACTGAGTGTACCGGCGGCCATCGCCGCCTGAGGTATCAGGAGTTGGAGGCCTCTCTCCTCCCTCCCCTCGCCAGTCCTCTCTCTCTCTCTCTCTCTCTCCTCCTTGGCTCCTTCTTCTTCTTCTTCTTCTTCTTCTTCTTCTTCTTCTTCTTCTTCTCTTCAGACTCCATCTTCTTCTTCTTCTTCTTCTTCTTCTTCTTCTTCTTCTTCTTCTTAAGATTGGAGACTTATACTAGTTGGACAGAGATCAGAGTTGGACTTCGGTGGTATGAGACTGTGGTACTTACCGGATTGGAGACTTGGAGATTGTTGGGGTTGATACTTGGCGGCATCACAGTTCGGACACCGGTTACATTTGGACTCTGTATCTCCGACATTGGTGACTGATTGTCCTCGACATTTTGATCTTGTTGGATGACATTTTGGACTACCATATCGGTGACCTGTCGGATTCTATCTCGGTGACCTATCGGTGCTGTCTACCTCCCCCACCTCCTTCGTCTCTCCTCCCACCTTTCATCTGTGTATGTGTGTACGGAATCTGGGCATCGTCCATGCTTGGCCCAGACCCCACCATATCACGATTGTATGTGTGTGGAGTGATGCTATGTGAGTCAGTCTATGTGAGTCAGTCCGTTTATCAGACTTCCACTGCATATATGCTCATCCTACATTGGTTGATCTTTGGTTCTGCCCATACTCATTGAAGTATGTAACAACTAACATGTCAAGGTGGCGCCTTGTTGCTGGTACATCGAAGATGAAGCTGGAGCTATGGCGCCACAGGTAAGTCTGCCTGGCCCTGCTACCTCTCTCTCTCTCTCTCAACGCTCCTCTAAGCTCCTAGCAGCGCCCAGCGCTGAAGGCTACTCCTAACGCTAGCTACTACTACTGCAGCGCTCCTGCAGAGTGCTGCGGCCGAATCCTGAAGACTGCCTCCAGCCTCCTCAACTGCCTGCAGCCTGCAGGGTGGACCAGTACTAAATAGTGCTGGTCCGGCTGGGAGGCTGCTCTTGCCAATGCCGAATCGTGCCAGACCCTGGCGCTGAAGTTCAAAAAAAAGGTTGTCTTGAAACGGGCCTAAAAGTGGCCTGCGCTTATCCCTGGTCTGGCGCCTAAGTTTCAGGAAACGTCAACTTTATGAGGGCCCTGAAATGGCCCTCCTTGCAAGGCTTTTAGGCTGAAATGACACAGGGCCTGGAGGGCCCTTATTCCTGCTGCTCGGGCCCTGCAGGCCCGTGTGGTGCACAGTATGCCACATAGTACCCGTTTGAGCCTGTGTGTTTGAACCCCCGACCTACCTCTGAAAAGTCGTATGCTCGACTGTTGTACAAAGCCCGGCTGCGAGGGTTTGACCCGTAGACCTTAGCAGTCGTAGGCTTAGTATAGGTCGTAGCTGTTACAGTCTTGAAAGGTCAAGTCTAACACTTCTAGACTGGTCTACACTGACTCCTTGTAGGTCGTAGGGGTCAGTACGTAGGTGAGTCAGCAAGGGGCAGTCCTAGTACAGTCAGCAGAGGGCAGTCCCAGTCCTGCCTCGTCTGGTCAGCGGTACCCAGTCCCAGTCGCACTTTGTCTAGTCAGCAAGTACCCTGTGGGACTGTGTACACCCCGGGCCCAGGGTCAAAGGACAGACCAATGACGATCTGAAGTATAAATAAGGAGGCCGCGTCAAGTCATTCATTCATTCTGCCTGGGAGACCTGTGGAAGCGTTGCCGGAGCGTCTTGTGCATTGGAGGTCTGCAGGTGCCCGAGGAAGAAGAGGGCTAAAAGGCGGAAGAAGCGGCCATAGCCGCGAGTTAGTAGGAGAGCGATGGCAGCCATAACTGCCACGTAGGTTAGTGGTAGGAGTCGTGTGTCGTGTGTGTGTGTGTATGTGTGTGGGACATTCTTGGTGATCCTAGTTAGTGAGTGAGAGTGTGTGTGTGCGTGTGAACAAGTTGCTGGTGGATATAGTTGATCGGGTGGGAATCTTTGTGAGCACTGGACGCCATAGCCATTCGAGACAAAGTTTGAATCTGAACTGTGTTCCTGGCCACGTTTTTATCTCTGAGCTTTGTGTGGGCGCACAGCACCAGTCCAAGTCGTCATCTTTTTTGCATGCATGCTGAAGTAAGAAGAACGGAGTCTGATTGCACAATGGCCTGGTGTTGAAAAATTGGTTCCTTTTCCTGGTTTTTGACTGCAGGTTGTGGACTGCAGGATGTGTGGAGATCCAAACTCAGTGCTTCGCTTTGCCTTTGTTGAGTTCACAGATGAAGGTTGTAAAGCAACTCATGCTGATCCTCTGTAGTTGCGCATGCTTCCACACTTGAGAAGAGTGGAATCAGTGGATGCCTGTTCATAGTATCGCAGGTTTGGCCATTGTTCAGATGATACCATGGAGGGACAACCATCTGATCGTCACTGATGGGCCGTGCATGCAGGTGGATGGAGGGCAGTTCTGTCTGGTTAGCATTCCTTTTGTGATACATTGGATTTCTGTAGTTGTCTGGGTGCTGGGCTGCCTGATTGTCTCTGCATAAGTGCTTGGGAGAGATTGCAGGCTCTGCATTGCTGGGACTGGCCGGTACAGGTATTATTGTATATTCAGGCATTTATGGATGTCGAGCATAGAGTACAAGGCTTATTAAATTGTCCTCTTGAACCTCGGTTATTTTTGGAATGCCTTGGCCCTGCTCGAGTCATAGTTTCTAGGTAATGGTATGATCCTGGCTACTAACACAAGGAAAGACGATGCTGTTCAAAGGAAGAAGAAGAAGAAAAAATAAAGAAGAAGAAGATGCACACCAGGAAAGACCAATGACAAATCCCCCTTCACTCGCCAACTTACTTCACCCTCCTTCTTTCCCAGCCACTTCATTCAATTAATGATAATGATAGCAATGAATAACTGAACCAGAACCAAGGTCTGAATCTCCTCCTCACTGCCAGCAGTATATGAGGTCGACCACAGCCACGACCTACACTTTGAACCACCTTCTGATGGTATGGCGGACCAGTGGGGCCTTGCTGTGATGTTCAAGGACAACGCAAAAGTTGATTTGCCCCCTACCACTTAGAGCGCCATGCCTAACTCTGCCCTGAAGCCTTCATGAGGCAGCGGGCCCCCACTGGGAGCTTCCAGGTGCAGCGCCAACGAAGATTATGAAAATGCCGTACATCATAGCCAGGTAAGTACCTCCACCACTCTCCTCCACGTCCGCTTCTCCCTCCTCCTATCGGCCTCATCCCCAGCGGCGTGACGCCCAAGCTTTCACACCACAAATGAGGGAGAGCTCTTTGCTCTCCCGTGAGATACACTGAGCAGCTTGCACCTTGGGCGGTGACTTTCCAGGCCGCTCGGCTCCCAAGCAACTGGTACATTCCTCCATTCGGAGGGAAACATCTGTGCAGGTCTGATATCGTCTGCTACTGGTACCCCTAGACCTAGGCCTACCATTTCTTTTTTCTTTTTGTCTTTTTAAAGGGCGACGGCCTTGTGATAAGATCATCTAGTTGACCGACCCCAGGTATCATTTCATTGCATTCACGTAGGTCAACCTGGATTTGAACTTGGGTCTATTATTCAGCAGTTCATTGGTGTGCCAACTGAGCTAGGCTCCTTGGTAGGCCTACTAAAACTCACTCGGCATTTAAAGGTACTAACTTTTTGTATTTGTCTGGTGGCCTACCGCGCTACTCAACTGCACCCTAAGCTACTCAACTGTACCCTAAGTTACACGCCTACCCTACCGCTGTCGCGCCCCACCGCTTCCAAGGCGAGGTTCGGTGCCCCTCCCCAGACGAAGTGCAGTGGGGTGGACTGGCAGGCTGTCACGCAGGATTTCATTAAGATCAAAGTATAACATAAGTACATGTCCAGCTCTCTCTCAAGTAGATGTCCTCATCTCCTGCCAGCTCCGACATGGCCTAAGTGAGGAGTTCGGTTTTGTCGCCTGCACCTGACCCCATGTAACAGTCGGAATCAAAGTCACTGGAGTCTCTGCCCAGGGAGTCCTTAGATGGCTTTGAGTGTGATCTTAGAAATAAAGAATGGATAAAATTTACAATTCATGCCATGTATGACAGGACAAAGGATGTGTGCAAGATGAAGAGAACAGAAGCCAGACTCTGCAAGATCAAGACCAAAGACATGAGACTGAAGAGTAGTGCATGAGGAATGCAGGGAGCATCCATTGGAGGCCTGCGATCACTGAGCCTCAGTCAATAATCACTAGTGGTACACCCTTGTGAGTCGGCTCAGCTGTTCGAGACTCGCCTCTGGTATGCGCTCCTCGGCATTGAGGACCTGGGTTACAATGGACTCTAGGACCACATAGCTGATATCCAATGAAGCCGCCGGGTCGACCTTCAGAATATGGGCCATGCATGTGGCCATCTCATCGTCTGCTAGGCTCCTGAGATATAACTTAGCCAACGGAATATCGTGAGTCTCGCTACAATCAAGATCTCCACTCGTCCCTTGCCGTAGATGTCATAAGATACCTCAAGGAAACGGTCACCATACAGTGACTTTCAGACAGCCTGCATAGCGAGATCAACACCGACAAGATGGCTGTATCCATCTCCAAGATAAGGAACCCGTCCTTTCCCTCTGGAGGGGCCTATTACCCCCTCTGACTTGGGTTCTCCTGACATATGAAAATACGATCAATCCCCCTCTAGTAGGTAATGTGCCAAAAGATGAGCAATCCGCTGTAGCACTGCCCTCCGTCTGCGCCTCGTCCCTTTATCTTCATAACACGTACACGATCTATTCATGTCCAGATAAGCTCAATCTCTGTGAGTATGCAAGTCAAAAGTAATCTCCAGGTCAACGTCGCTCACACTGCAAGGTCCCTGGTCCGACTCGTCAGTCTCTGATCTCTGGAAACAAGTGGTTATGGGGATTCCAGATCTGGCTACCTCAACGTCGCTCACACTGCAAGGTCCGTGGTCCGATTCGTCAGTCTATGATCTCTGGAAACAAGTGGTTATGGGGATTCCAGATCTGGCTACCTCAATGAGAGGCTTTGGATTGCAGACATCGAAATAAAAAAGGGTTCCACCAGGTGCCGAAGGGATGCGAGGAAACACCACGTGTAGCTAGTGATCCCTCCAATAGCTGTCCTTGCAAAAGATGTAGTCCACGATCCGGTTGCAGGTCGCACCCTTCACACCCTGATCAGCCTCTCAATGTATGCCTTGAGGTCAGGGACTCATTGGCTCTAATGGTGAAAGTCTGATGTCCAGTATGGCGATATCGAAGCTTCTCAATGAGCTTGCCCCACTTTGGAGCAGTAGCTCGCTCACACGCCAGCTTGACTGGTTTCTAACACAATCCGAGAGATATAAGTGGCTTCCCAGAGTGGCCTTGTCAGTGAGCAAAGTCCAGGTGATAATGATTACGTCCAAAAGAGCTCTGCCGGTTAGCAGCAACTGCGGAAGAGGCTGGCCTGAACAGGCCAGGCAAATCACGAACTCATAGGCAAAAATGACCACCTGAGTGGGCCTGGCCAGCAGCAAATCGAGTATAAAAGGCCCGCTGGAACCGGTCTGGATAGCAGCAACACAAGTAAGTAAGGGCCTGCCTGTATCAGCCTGGCCAGCAGCGTCCAGCAACTCAAAGTAAGAGCCCGCCTGAATGGGCCGGACTAAACAGCAGCCAGCAACTCACTGGAAGGGCCTGCCAGAATGGGCTTGGCTGAACAGCAATCACCAAACCAAAATGGGGGCCGGCCTGAATGGGCCCGGGTGGTGAATTTAGCAACTCAAAATAATGGCCCGCCTGAACAGCAATCAGCAATTCAAAATAAAGGCCTGCCTGAATGGTGAACAGCAATCAGCAGGTTGAAGTATAGGCCCTGAGCAGCAATCAACCCGCCTGAATGGGCCTGGCTCAACAGCAATCAGCAGCTCGAAATAACAGCCCGCCTGAATGGGCCCTGCTGAACAGCAATTAGCAGCTTGAAATATGTGCCCGACTGAGCAGCAATCAACATCTCTAAATAAAGGCCCGCCTGAATGGGCCCGGCTCAACAGCAATCAGCAGCTTGAAATAACGGCCCGCCTGAATGGGCCCTGCTGGACAGCAATTAGCAGCTTGAAATATGTGTCCGACTGAGCAGCAATCAACAACTCTAAATAAGGACCCGGCGGAACAGCAATCAGCAGCTCAAAATAAGGGCCTGCATGAATTGGCCCAACTGAACAGCCATAGTAACTTGAAATAAGGGGCTGCCTTGATGGGCCCGACTGAACAGCCATAGTAACTCAAAATAAGGGCCCGCCTGAATGTGGCCGCTGAACAGCAATCAGCAACTCGAAATAAGGGTCCGCCTGAATGGGCCCGGCTGAACAGCAATCAGCAAGTTTAAATAAGGGCCCGCCTGAATGAGCCTGGTCAGCAGATTACCACGGCTGCAAGAAACCGAACTGCCACTCACCAATCAGCAGGACTAAACCGCAGCTCCCCAATCGATGGGACTGAGCTGCAGATCCAAACAGCAGGACTGAACTGCAGCTCGCCAATCAGTGGGGCTGAACTGCCAATAATCGTCTGCACGGGAACAGAACAGCACTACCGTCCATGCAGGGAGTGAAACTCGAATTATTGCCTGCCCAGGGACTGACTAGCGAATTCCAGGACAGCACTGCAGATAACGGGGATCGAATCACAATGATGGCAATAACCAGGATCGAACAGCAGCTACCAGGATCGAGCTGCAGCTACCAGGATCGAACGGCGGATACCAGGACGGACCTGCAGTTACGAGGACTGAGCTGCAGTTACCAAGTGGTCTACTTCACCGTGCTGGAAATTGTTCAGGCGCCCAACACACTGAGTCTACTAGCATCCTAACTTTTGGCCCCTCCTTCAATCAGCATGAGCGCTGGCGCACGGTCCCGACTTGCAACCAATCAAATCTAGCACAAGCGAATGGTCTTGATCTGTTAGTGCGTACGACGATGGCTGATGCCGCAGCAGCGAGTGATCCTGTTCCAACAAGGGCGAGCATGTAACAGCCTATCAGTCTGCGTGAGCAGAAGTATGTGGTCCCGGCCAACCAATGTGCTTGGCGACGACCAATCAGGGTGCTCAGTAGTCTCCGGCTTCAATACCCCAAAGCGCGAGGCCAAGCCATCAATCAACGTGAGCAGTGATACATCTGATCTACCGATGCAAGTGACACCGTGCAAAGCCAAACTACCAGTTAGTGCACGCCAGCGATATGAGCGGGCAATGAATGGTCCTTAGACAATGATCTGTCGAGTGAGC